ACTCAGTCTCAAAAAAAAAAAAAAAAGTTATATATATATATTTTATTCCTCCGGTCCCCCTCCTGTATTTTGTGTTTCTTATACATTTTACTTGTGCATGTAACCTGTAATACATTGTTTTTGTTATTGCTTTAAACATTTATATTTTCAAGAAGTTAAAACTCTTTCACCTTTACCTACATATTTACCTTTCTGATGATCTTCATTCCATTTTGTAGATCTGTTGTCATTTTCCTTTCTCTTGAAGAACTTTTAACATTTCTTATACTGTACACCAACTGGCAGTGGATTTTCTCAGATTTTGTTTGTCTGAAGATGTCTTCATTTTGCCTTCATTTTTGAAGGATGTTTTCATTGGCTATAGAATTCTAGGTTGTCTTTTTTTTCTTTTGGCATTTTATAGGTGTCATTGTTTTGCCTTATGGTTTGCATTGTCCCTTAAGCAAAATCTATAGTCACGTTCTATTTGTTTTACTTGTGTGTAAAGTGTCTTTCCGACACCTGGGTGTGGCTAAAGTTCTCTTGTTGTTGTTTTATTGCCCAGGCTGGAGTGCAGTGGTTCAATCTCGGCTCACTACAAGGTCCACCTCCTGAGTTTAAGTGGTCCTCCCACCTCAGCCTCCTGAGTAGCTGGGATTATAAGTGCTACCACACCCAGCTAATTTTTTTTTTTTTTTGAGACAGAGTGTCACTCTGTCACCGAGGCTGGAGTGCAGTGGCGTGATCTCGGCTCACTGCAACCTCTGCTTCCCGGGTTCGAGCAATTCTGTGTCTTGGCCTCCCAAGTAGCTGGCATTACATGCACACCCCACCACACCTGGCTAATTTTTGTATTTTTAGTAGAGACGGGATTTCACCATCTTGGCCAGGCTTGTCTTGAACTCCTGACCTCATGATCCACTGCCTTGGCCTCCCAAATGCTGGTATTACAGGGGCGAGCCACCTCACCTGGCCTAATTCTTGTATTTTTAGTAGGGACGTGGTTTTGCCATGTTGGCCAGGCTGGTCTCAAACTCCTGACCTCAAGTGATCTTGCCCACTTTGGCCTCCCAAAATGCTGGGATTACAGGCATGAGCCACCGTGTGTGGCCTAAAGTTTTCATTAGCTTTGTTTTTAAGCAGTTTGTTGTGGTGTCCCTAGATGTGGGTTCCTTTGAGTATTTCCTATTTGTAGTTTGCTGAAATTCTTCTATCTCTGAGTTCAAATTTAGAAAATTAGAAACTTTTCAGTCACTATTACTTAGATTTTTTTCCCCCTCCTCCCTACCCTGCACTTTCACCTTGTCTCCTGTTTCTCTAACTTTTCTTCTGGTGTTCCAATTACTGGTATGTTAGATCATTTAATACGCTCCTACAAGTTTTTAAGGCTCTGTCATAGTTTTATCTTTTCTCTCACTGTGAGATTTTTAGCTTGGATAATAGCTATTGAACAAATCTTTCTTTCATTATTTGATCTGCTGTTAATACTAAATACATTTTTTACTTCAGATGTTGCCTTTTTACATGCTAGAAATTTTGTTTGCTGCTTTTTGTTTTTGTGAGCTCTAAATCTTTCTGTAATTCCCCATCATGCCACCCATTATATCCATCTTTTTCCTGTAGATTATTTAGCGTATTTGTTAGCATTATTTAAAGTTCTTACCCGCTAATTAAACATCTGGTTCATTGTGGATCTCTTTCTGCTGACTTTTTTTCTTGACTATATATCACATTTTTCTGTCATAAATTTTAATTGTACAGTAAATACTGTAGAGATGCCAGATTCTGTTTTCTTCTGCAGAGTGTTTAGCTTTGTTCTAACAGGCAATTAAATTGCTGACTGATCACTTTGATCATTCATGTTGAGCCTTGTTACAGGCTTTGTTAAGGCAGGTCTGCTTCACCTGTGCTTTCAGTACTGGGAGCCTTTCTGATTGCTGGGTTGTGGACCTTACTCCTAAAATGTGGCCCATCTAGGGTTTCAGTAGAAGGCCTAGGGTGTTTACAGGAGACCCTTTAACTTACAGACTTAAAATTTAAGCTCTGTCCATCCCCCCAAGATGGCACTTGATAACTCTGCTTAGCTCCTCCCAATTCCCATTTTCCCCTTTCTGAGATCTTTGTATTCCCTCTATATGTGTGCAGTTTTGCCATCAGCCATGCATTTGAGGGGAATGCGTTTATAGATTTTGGACTCCCTTCTTTCTGGAATTCTCTCCCTCAATTTCCAGCCAATCTGCCTGTCCCAGTTTCCAACTGACAACTTAACCCATTAAGACTATAACTTCCCTCCTGAGTTCTAGGAAAAGCTAGATAAACTCATCTCACCTGGTAAGCTTCCTTCCCTCAAGTCTTATTTTGTCCAGTGTCTATCTGCCTTGGTTACACTTGAGTGACTTAAAAGGGATGCTTGTAATTGTCATCAGTAGATGGGTAAATTTGACCTAAGTTACTCTCCCATTACTGGGAGCTGAACCTGTGTCTGTACTTTTGTTTTGTACTTTTTTTTCACTTGATATTTTAATGTAAGAATTTTCTAAGTTATTGAAAATTTATCATAAACAAATGGACCTTAACTTTCCATTTTGTGTGAGTATGCTATAGTTGGATGTTTTCCTACTTTGGAAATAAAATGTTTTAATGTTACATGTAGTGCTAGACTCTCATTTTATGAAGGGGATAAGAAATGTGTGTTTTGAGGATCTGGACACAGGTTTCTTTTCCTGAAAATTTGCTTAGTCACTTGTATCTTAGGTAAGGTATAATGATTATAAAATTTTTCATTCCTTTGATATATTTATCCTTTCAAGTGTGCCTACATCCTATTTAAGTCAAAGTTTTTAAAAAATTATTATTACTGCTGTTTTTGTTTTTATTTTTCCTTCAGAAAAGAGAAAACATTCGTTCCTTGACTATGTCTGGCCATGTTGGTTTTGAGAGTTTGCCTGATCAGCTGGTGAACAGATCCATTCAGCAAGGTTTCTGCTTTAATATTCTCTGCGTGGGTATGTGCCATCTATACTTCCTCTAAGTTGTTCCTTCATATTCCTTGTGCTCACTTCATTCTTGCCATGAGCAGAACAATGCTTATGTTATTAATCTGAAATCATAATCCCAGGTGTTCTCCTCAGTTGTTTAGATTCTGTTAATTTTGTTTTTCTTATCTTTAAACTTTTGGCTTGTTCTGTAAACATTTCAGTGTTGTTGTCAGAGTTCTGAGTAGCTTAGACACTTGCTCTATGCTCTGCCAATAACTTGAGGGAACAGCATTAGCATGTATTTCTTTCATGCATACCCTGGCCTTTGAAATATTTGGTGTCTTTGAAACCACTCTAGGTGTTTACAGTTGTATTTCTTCTCAATCATTCATGCTGCCATAAAGAGGTACCTTTGTTTGTTTCAGGGGAAACTGGAATTGGAAAATCAACACTGATTGACACATTGTTTAATACTAATTTTGAAGACCATGAATCCTCACATTTTTGCCCAAATGTTAAACTTAAAGCTCAGACATATGAACTCCAGGAAAGTAATGTTCGATTGAAATTGACCATTGTGAATACAGTGGGATTTGGTGACCAAATAAATAAAGAAGAGAGGTACGTGTTTTCTTCCTGTAATAAAACAAGTTTTTCTTACTTCAAGACATTTGCCTTATAGCCCCATGAACTATGATTTGATTTTCTCCTATGGTAATCTATACTTTTCCTTCCACACATTAATTTTTAAAAATAAAATAATTAAGCAACATTTTATTCTTATTAGCACATTGACATTTTTCTATCCATCTGTCTAATTTATTTAGGATAATTTGAATCACATTATTAAAATGTGTGTTTCAGCAAAAGGAGCTTTAATTATTTCCTGACATGCAAATTCAGTGTATATTAATTATACTAATTTTCAGGGAGGGCTTAGCCCCTTGAAGAAAAAAAATACAAGACACGTAAGAGCAAATATATATATATAATGGCCAAATGCGTGATGCGCAAATTTTTTGTAAAATTCTAATCAAAATAGCCAGTTACATTATTAATCATTGCAGGAAAGTTTTGATAGTGAAATTTTAATTTATATTTTACCTTATGTCTCTATTTCTTGTTAATATTTCTCCTAAGATTGAGTAGAGATTCTATATCAAATTTAAACTATGAAAGGGGGGAAAGGATTGGTAAAGCAATAACTTTTTGTTCATTTTCCTTTTTGAAATGTATTTTCATTTTTGTAAGTACTTTTTTCTTTCTTAAAAATAATTTCAACTTTTGTTTTAGATTTGGGGTACATTTGCAGGTTTGTTACATGGGTGTATTGTGTGATGCTGAGGTTTGAGGTACAAGTGATCCGATTACCCAGGTATTGACCATGGTACCAATAGTTAGCTTTTCGGCCTTTACCCTGCTTTTCGCTTCCTACTCTAGTAGTCCCCATTGTCTGTTGTTGCCGTCTTTATATCTATGTGTACCCAATGTTTAGATTCCACTTACTTATAAGCGAGAACATACAGTATTCAGTGTTTTGTTCTTGCGTAAATATGTTTAGGATAATGGCCTCCAGCTTCATCCATGTTGCTGCAAAAGACATGATTTTGTTCCTTTTTTTTTTCTCGAGGTGGAGTCTAGCTCTGTCACCCAGGCTGGAGTGCAGTGGCGCAGTTTTGGCTCACTGCAACCTCTGCCTCCTGGGTTCAAGTGATTCTCCTGCCTCAGCCTCCTGAGTAGCTGGGATTATAGGTGCATACCACCACACCCAGCTAATTTTTGTATTTTTA